TTATTTAAATTTTTAGCCTCGAATGGTGCTAAACCGCGTCTTTAATGTTTTGGAGATTAATTTTGTTAAAGGCCTCTGATTTAAATATTGTTCAAAAATTTGTGATTTTGAGAGAGAAACCTTCACTTTAGCGTTCAAAAATTCGTCAAAAATGCAGTATAAACGAAGTTTGCATCTTTTGAGTACTTTACAATGATTATATAATGAAATTTGGTAGTATTTTCGACAAAAAAAAATGATTCAAAATTTTTACCTTTTTTATTATGTAATATGAGAACACTTCTTCTGTGTTTTTACTGCTTTTAGCTCAATTTTTATTTTAAAATGTAGTAGATTTTATAATGGAGTAAAATTATTTATATTTCAGAAGCTATAAATATTCGGATTAGGCAAGTTGACTTGTTTTTGCTTTTTATGTCCGTGTATTTAAATTTTTAGTCTTGAATGCTTGTAAACCGCCTCTTTAATATTTTGGGAGATTAATTTTATTTAAAATTTTTTATTTTTCAAATGTAAATTTTTCGTAAATAGTTAAGGACACTTTTTTCTGTGGCTTTTGCTACTTTTCACTTATTTTTTTAAACAAAGTAATGAGTTTTAAAGAACTAACTTTATAGATAATAATGTTTTGTTTTCCTACGAACCCAACAGAAAGTAAGTTTTTCACCCTAATTTTCCTTTATCTGTAAAAATTGAAATAAAAATATATGTAACCTCCCATCGTACCAGGAAAACATGCTGCTAGATTTAATGGGGAAACTGAGATATCAAGAGAAATTGATAGTTTTAAAGTTTTCTTAGCTAGATTGTAGGAAAAATTATATGTACTACACTGGAGATTACTGGGTGGTTACTGCATTTAATAACTTCCACTGGGGGAGYAAAAAATACACTTTCCTCTCTTGTAACACATCTATTACAACTTTTGTTGGTAAAGTTGCGCTCCAAATTTAAATTAATCCGACGACTAAGTTTTTAAAACTCAAAAACTAAACTCAAAACATTAGGATATGGCAGTAAGTTAAGTTATTTTTGCTTCTTTTGTTTTCTATTATTATATTCTAATATTTTTGCACAACTTTTAAAATCACCCATTGTAATATAAAAAATTTTTGCTAAAATTTTTGACATTTTTTTACTATTCATTAAAACTTTTATTTAAAGATAATATTTGTTTTCCTACTATCTTAAGTAAGTTTTTTCACTTTTTCAGATAAGAAAGTAGGTAATTATCTCTCAGAGAGGTAAAAATTTTGCCTCTCTCATCTGTAAAAATTACAATAAAAATATATGTTTCCTTTCATAGAGAAAGTTTTGCTAGATTTGAGAAACTGAGATTTCAATAAAAATTGTTAGTTTTGAAGTTTTTTTGCTAGATCGTAGAAAAAATTATATGTACTACACTGGAGGTTACTGGGTGGTTACTGCTTTCAGCAGCTTCCCTTGTAAAACAAAATAATACACTTTCCTCTCTTGTAACTCTTTGTATTAATTGTTACAACTTCTGTTGAAGTTGCGCGCCAAATTTAAATTAATTCGGCGACTAAGTTTTTAAAGCTCAAAAACTAAACTCAAAAAAATTAGGATAAGGCATAAGTCGAATTATTTTCGTTTTTTTTTTGTTCTCCACTATTACCTTCTAAAATTTTTGCACAACTATTAAAATTACACTGTATTACAATATAAAAATTCGTCACCAACGTATCTATTTTCCAGAATTTTTATCATGTTTTTCTTTTACTATTTATTAACTTTTATGGTATTTATTTAATTTTTTAAACTTGAATGTTTTTTAAACCGGCCTCTTAATTTTTTGAGAGATTAATTTTATTAATTTTTTTTACAATTTGTCTCTATTGAAAGGTTTTTTAAAGCGAAGAAAATAAACGATTAAATTCATTTTCATGCAATTGTTTTATTTTTGTTAGATGCAAGGCGAGTGAAAACCAAAAATTAATAAAAAATGATATTTTGTTTCGTTTAAAATAATAATTGATTACTTTCAGTTCCATTCATATTTATCTACTGTAACACTGAGGTGAAATTTTCGTCGTAACTGAAAGATTTCTACAATTTGGACGTTTGCCCAACCACCGACTTGGCACCTTCACGTCTTTTTTGCGTATTGCAGATGCAATAACCCAAAAAAATTAATCAATTTTATATTTACCAAAAGAAATATTTCAGTTTGAAGAAGCCTTTTCCGTTTCCTCATCATCTGTTCTTATTAATTTTTTCAGCTCCTGGAAATAGTTTTCCGGTTCGCTCCGGGACTGCAATAGTCCAGATGGAGTTGTATCAATATTAAAACCGTCGGCAAACAGTTGATACGAAGCAATTTCGTCATACAATAGGGAAAGGTACAAGGAATCCGACGCGGTTTTGGACCGGAAACGAGGCCATTTTAACTGGGTATTGTATAAATATTGTATGACAATGCGAAGTTACGAGCTTCTAAATCCGTACTTCGCATTACCATTTCTTTGAGCCGGCTTTGAACTATAAAAAATTCTCGTCTCTTTTCATTTAAATTAAAACGGTTTAAATGAAAGAAATATCTGATTCAGGTGTGATCGAATTGGACTGGAAATAATAGGACTGTCATGTACATTGTGACGCTTATTAGGAGGGTTTTTGTGCGGATTCATAAAGTGTTGTTGTTACGACGGCCGGGAAATATTTTCAGGATTAGATGTTTAATGACGTTGTCCTTTCGGCGAAAGGATGAAATTAAAAATGCTGTGTTTTAAGAGGGTTTCATGCTTTATGGACAAATAAAAGTTTGTAATTCTGTTTTATCACTCAAATTTTTTTTAATAATTGAGCCAACAGGTGTGAGCAAGAAAAATTTTCCTGAAAATTTCACCTGAAAAATTGTGTAATAGCACGAGCGAATATTAATTTTAGTGCAGTATTATGATCCTACAACATGCAACAACATGAATAAAACYCAAACTTGTCAAAGTTTCCGATGACATTTGATGTCAATGATTTGAAGAATTTTATTTTAAAATGTAGTAGATTTTACAGWAGACTTGAATTATTTATATCTCAGAAATTATGAACATTCGAATTTGCCAAGTTGATTTATTTCTGCTTTTTTTGTCCTCTAGGTACTATCACCGT